GATTGAGATACCTAAATGTCAACGGATTGATATTTGAATTGGAATTTGATAGTCGCAGTTGCGAGTGATTCAAGGGCAAATACGTGGGCGAGTGAGATGTCTTCAAATAAATGTATTTAATTTTTAACTTCTTATTGAACTTTATGCTAAACCATATGTATTTTTCAAATATCTGCAGCTGAATTATAAACTACATACCGTATTTTTTTAAGGGGGGAAAATCATCGTATTTTTTTTTTTTTTTTTTTTTAAGGGGGGAAAATCATCGAATGACTGCTCCCGCCTGGGTGAGGCGGAAGGGAGTGTCAGACTCTTACTGACTAAAAACCACCCCGTTCCTTCTCCTGCACGTCGAGCCGGAGCCCCGGTTACCCGTTAGGTTCTCCGCGACTCCGAATCGGCATCGGCCCTATTGGGCCCCATCTGTGGTGGTCTGATGGCTCTTTGAGGCGCGCGCGGAACGCGACGCGCCGTACGCTCGGGTCTGTTTCTGGTCGGACGGGGAGCCACCCATGCTCGCCGTCCGCAGGCCCGCGCTTACGGTGGCCGGAGATCGTCCCGCGATCCCCGACGCCCGGTGTGTCCTTCGCGATGGCTGGGTCGCGAGGAGGCAGCGCTTCGCTGCCTCACGCGTCCCGCCTCCTCCTTAGCTAGCATGACTGCTTCGCAAAAGGAGGAGACGGCATCCCAGTCCCCCTCGCTCCGCATCATGGCCTGCACTAGGCCCGGACGCGAGAGGTCGCCATCGCCGATCACTTCCCTGAGGGCACGGCGGTGCTCAGCCCACGCAGGGCATTCCGCTACGGTGTGTTCCACCGTGTCCTCAGGGCGGTCCTCGCAGTGATGACACCCGGGCGTTTCCTCCCGCCCCATCAGACACAGGTACCTCCCGAAACTTCCATGTCCGGTGAGGACCTGCGTCAGGCGGTAGGTGAGGACGCCGTAGCGTCTCTCAAGCCACTCCTCAAAGAGGGGACTTACCGCTGCAATGGCAGCGAGCCCAGCCCTCGGTTGCGACAGTCGTTGCTGCCATTCCGCCATGAGATCGCGCCGGAGCTCATCCCGCCACGCACTTATCTGGCGCGGCAGCGGAGTTTCGCCCCGGCGACGTGCCTCCGCGCGCATGTTATACACACGCGCGAGCACCTTCGCCTCCAGATCCCACGGCGGTAATCCGGCAAGGAGGTTCGCCGACTCCCCAGCGATCGTGCGGTATCCGCGGATCATTCGGATCGCCATGACCCTCTGTGACTTGAGCAGCGTCCGAGCAGGACGCCGCAACAAGTTCGGCACCCAAACAGGGGCGCCGTAGAGGGCCATGGACCGCACGACCCCGGCGTATAACCTCCGGCAGGAGGCGTTTGGCCCCCCGAGGTTGGGGAGGATGCGTTTGAACGCAGCCCCCGTCCTCTCCAACTTTGGAGCCAAACGTCGGAAATGCTCTATGAAGTTCCACCGACTGTCGAGGACGAGTCCTAGGTACTTCATCGCCGTCTCGACGCCGATGGTAACCCCTCCCGCCGTTATTTGGGACCCACCCGGAGGTGGCGCGTTCCCGCGGCCATGAAAACACATGGCCTCGGACTTGTGGAGCGCCACCTCGAGTCCCAACTGCCGGATTCTTTCAACGACTGTCGCAACCGCTGTCGCCATTAAGTCGGCCGCCGCCTGGTGCGACCTCCCGTGCGCTAGCACCAGCGTGTCGTCGGCGTAGCATATTGTGCTAACGCCGTTCGGGAGGTCGGTGCGCAGCACCCAGTCATAGCCGATGTTCCACAGGAGCGGCCCCAGAACCGAACCCTGTGGAACACCGCGTGACATCTCTCGCCGGTTCCACTCGCCCCGGTGACCGGGGTAGCTGACGGACCTGTCCGTCAGGTAAGCCTCGATTACACGACGGAGGTAGGTAGGCACCCGATGATATCGGAGTGCCTCCAAGATGCAGCTCCAGGGCAGGGAGTTGAAGGCGTTGGCGATGTCCAGAGACACCGCCACTACGACCTTACCCCTGGACACTGCAGTCCCCGTCGTGAGGTCTCTAACGCGCATGATGGCGTCCACCGTGGAGCGCCCTCTGCGGAAGCCGAACTGGCCGTCCGACAAGTCCGGCCCAATGTCCGTCAGGTGCGCGACGAGGCGGTTCGAAATGATTCTTTCGAAGACTTTCCCCACCTCGTCGAGCAGCACTTCGTATGGCTTCTCTGTCTGACACTCTCTCCCGCCCGGGCCCGAGAGAAAGTGTCAAACTTAGGTACTGACTAAAAACCACCCTGTTCCTACTGCACAGTGCACTTCGAGCCGGAGCCTCGGAAACCCGTTAAGTCTTCCGCGACTCCGAATCTACATAACTAAAACTTACTGGAATTTCCACAATTATCTTAAGATTTTTATTTTGAGAATGCTATAGATATTTTTATGAAATTCATGAAGAAAAAAATCTTACAAAACACATAAACCTTGCTAACAATACATACCTAAAGAACTACGCACTTATGTAGATTTATGCCGAACGCGGAACGAACGAAGTCAACGAACACAGAAACCTCTTTTGTGGCCAAATAAAATAAATTTTCAACCTTAAACCTGTATGATAAAGTTGGAAATCTAACAAAGAATATGTTGTAGTTTAGGGAGTCACCAGTACGTTAGTCTACACCAAATTGTCAAATAATATGTTTAACTAGCTGTTGCCCATGACTTCGTCCGCGTAGAATATGATTCCTGTTTTATCCCATGGGAACATTTAATCGGGATAAAAAGTATCCAATAAGTCAGCCCATACTCTGCCTGTAGATATACCAAATTTCATCGAAATCCCTTCAGAAGCTTCAGCGTGATTGACGGACAAACATCCAAACAAAGAAACTATATATTCATTCTTAGCTTTATGTAGCACAGTTGAAAATTTTTCCAATCCTAATTGTGAAGGTTTCTTAAAATAAAACTAAAAATCTATTAAAGAATTTTGAGTTTTTTGTATCCTTACTAATATTTTAAATCGGAAAGTGAGTTTGTTTATTTGTTTGTTTGCTCCGCTTTCACGCCGTAACAACTAAACCGATTGCTTTGAATTTTTGGAGACGTAAAGTTAGAAGTCTGGAATTATTAATAGGGTACTTTTTATCCCGGAAAAATTTGATATTCTCGTCTCTCGAGAGAAAACGAAATTTTTGGTATAGATGGCGCTGTGTGTATTGGTATATATCACATAGGCTACTTTGTATCCTCTTGTGACGCGAGCGAAGCCGCGGGTAAAAGCTAGTAGTTTATATATACGAGCTAGTATATATATATTGAAGACGTAGCAGTTCGCGTTTGTACGCATACCTGGGATAATGTGTGTCGCATACTATCGCAGAGCTCATGAATATGCTATCACCTCTCTGTCTCGACACAGTTACCTCACGGTTCACGGTAAACTAAACGAATATGCACAATTACTACTAAGTATGTGTGCAACGAACTCACTAACTAACGACTAAGCAATACTTGGACATTAGACATCGCTAACACGTCCAGTTATCTACATTAGTTTATCAAACAAATTAATAGGAGCCCCGATTACGCCCCCACCCCTTCCAAATTCCTGATCCCCAAAAGACGGAAATAAAGTTTTTTTTTCTTCTATTATCCACTGACAGATGTCATCATATTACAAACTCCTTTCTTTTTCATAATCATTCTGTACAAAAAATATCCATCTTGTCTTTGGTCATCCTTTACCATCCTTCCAAATTCAAATTCAGCATTCGCACGACTGTCAGATGATTTTCATTCTTGCTTATAAATCATGAATGAAAGATTTTCAACCTTTACTCTTTTTAATAAAGTTGGAAATGAATTAAATTTATATTGGTTAGTAAGGTCTGGTGTAGTGATGTGCGGCCTACATCGTACTTACGAGGTTAATTTCTTAGAACTTTGTTGCCAATAGGATGTTTGTGTGTCACAGTGAAGCCAACGTGGTTCATACAGGCTAGTGGGATCTAGTAGAGAACAGTTTTAAAAAAATAACTTGATACTTACGCACAAATTTTTGTTAACAGTTAATTAACACAAAAAGAAATTCATTTAACCGACTGCCTCATTGGCCGAGTGGTTGCAAGTGCGACTGCCAGGCAAGGGGTCTCGGGTTCGATTCCCGGGTCGGGCAAAGTATTACTAGGTTTTTAAAAAATTCTCAGTAGTAGCTCGGAGTCTGGAATTGTGCCCGGTATATGGCAATAGGTTCACCCCCTATTACATGGGACTCATAACATAAATAGTGAAAAGTGGGTCTTACATTGTACAGTGGCATAATGGGCACATCTGCCTACCCCTTCAGGAATAAAAGGCGTGATGTTATGTTTGTGTTATGTTAAATTCATTTTTTTTTGCCTGCAGTAGTATTTATCAATAAGTCATTCTGTAGTTACCTTGTTCCCTGTTCATATCATTCACCAGAATACACAATATTCTAAACTAAATATGAACACTAAACTAAATAAAGAAAGAAAGAAAGAAAGAAAAACCATTTATTTAGCACCAGGAACGATGCAGCATAAATAAAAAATAAAAAAAGACAAATCAAGATGTGACAGTGGAAGTAATACAAATATAAGAGTTCAAATATATTTGAAATAAGAAAAATAAATAAATAAGACAAATATCAGTTGTCTTTCATTACTTGATAATAATTTCCATTGATCACAAAGTTTTACATTGAATTTTAAACAAAGGTATCTGAATCATAAAAATAGTTAAAGAAGTAATTCGAATTAATTCACGGCAAACAGGTTTACAAACGACTTATGTATGTACAAAATGTGTAGGTATTCGTATAATTACATTCAGTGGTATTTAGCTAAGTTTAAGCGATCACGATGCTAAGCTTACATCAACACATTTCACTGCAGTTACTAGTCTGTCGTGACCAACCAATATTACCAAATACGTCCGAAACACTTTCTTTTGTGCCGTTTGCGTATCAATTGACTCACTGTGGCTTTGTCTTCTTACAGGTGAGGTGAACAACGGCTACGTGACCGACGCGACATCTGTCTCCGGCTCGCGGAAATCGTTGGCGCTCCAACCAGTTCTAATAATGCATCCCCACGCTACCATGGACATGGATACTTACTCACACTACTCCGGAAGGACTGCAAGATCAAAACACGGCATCTACGCCAACACTATGCATAATTATCAACTTTAAATTCTGTTACAAAGCATACCTAGTATCTCACTTCAATCTGTGGTGTAGATACTCACTAAGAAGTACCACTACTCGCCGCAAGATGGCGTTATTTTTAAATTATTTCTAAAATACAAATTTAGATTTAAGGATTTTGTAATGTAAGATAATTGTGTAGAAGTGTAAATATCTCTAATGATTTTGTACTTAAATATATTTTTGTATGATCTGTACAATACCTACGTGTTCCCGTCCGGAAGTAGTTAATGTAACTGCCTTAGTTATCGACTAAACAAATGTTTATCTTAATTAGATTGTTATAGGTAAACTGTTGTACCTCGAGACATCAACGAATTTACAACGACTTATGATTATGTGCCTTGTAGAAAGCTGAAAGTACTTAATGTTGTTATTATTTTGGTAATTAAATAATTTCTTAGATATTATGTTGTCATTATTTTAACCCTGTGTTTTCATTGGGCTGCAGTTTCGAACTGATACAAAGAGACAGCTCCAAATCATACAAAAATACTAATCTGTAGTCTGTACTTAACATTCTTGTTATGGTTTAGTTTTCACGCCTTCTTGAAATAATATAGCTGAAATACGCAATCTGTTTGATTATTAAAAATAATTTAGGCGCCGTGTAGTTTTAACTAATATTATTTTAATGTCATCGTTCAAGGACTAGGTAACACAATAATAAAAAAATCAGTCTTCTTGAAGCATTATTTATTAAATATCCAGACATCAGCGTGTGTAAAACCATGGTTTTCCATGCAAATGTGCGCAGGCAGGTCATAGCGCGCCGCTAGCGACATCTGTTGCCGTCGGGTGGCAGTTAGTCCGTGCCGCCCTGGGTCACCAATTAGCACCTGAAATTAAAAGAGATGATTTAAGAAGAAATTTATGATCATTTATCAAGCCTATGTAGCTAGACTATGTACATCTTCTACATACGAGAATTTTGCCATAGTTTCCAATGTCAGCGGGCGGGTTGGAGACCAATTGAAAGGTTCCTTGTAATTATATAATATCTCCTAACATTCCTTCTGGTAAAAAGAGGACGGGTGATGGGATATAAAACACATAACATAACATCACGCCTTTTATCCCTGGAGGGGTAGGCAGAGGTGCACATTACGACACTTAATGCCACTGTACAATATAACACCCACTTTTCACTATTCATGTTATGAGTCCCATGTAATAAGGGGCGAGCCTATTGATGACAATATGAAGTCCCTGCTACTACTGAGAATTTTATTTAAAAATGCCAGTAATACTTTGCCCGACCCGGGCATTGAACCCGAGAGCCCTTGCCTGGCAGTCTCATTCGCGACCACTCAGCCAACGAGGCAGTCAGTGGAATATAAAAGTGTAAAAAATAAGTGTATCTCTGATCTGCCTACTCCTTTTGGGATTATTAAAGGGCGTGATGTTGGGCTGTTACACCTACGATCCATAAATGAGACTGGCAAGAGTTGGATACCTATGTATGTAAAATAATTAATTTTCCTGTCCATAATTAATTCGACAAAGGCCTCTCCGATAGTTCTGAACTGTGATGCCCGATAGGCAGCCGCTGAAGGCCTAATGGGTTACCGGGGCTGGGCTCCCGCTCGAAGAGCAATAGGAACTGGGTGGTTTTTAGTTAGAAGAGTCTGACACTCCCTCTCGTCACAGCCAAGGTGGGAGAAGTCATTGGATGACTTTCCCCCCTCAAAAGAAGGGGTGTAGGCCTTCTTAAGTTTTTGCCATCTCTTTCGATCGTGAGCTATTTATATCCAGCTAAATTAATAATTAAATATTATAAACATAAGTTTTGGATTTGACTTGACGGTCAAAGCCTCTCTCACTCATAGTATGTACAACTGGTGAACAATGGATGTTAATGTGCATTGCATTTTAATTATGCACTACCTACCACCTCTACCTACCCCTTTTAATAGTCTAATCTAGTTATACTGAGAAACCTCCCTAAGGTTAATGTGCATTGCATTTTAATTATGCACTACCACCTCTACCTACCCCAAAAGATAAGCTATTAAGCGCATGTGTGTGTGTAAATCAATAAATGAAATTATGTTCCTTACCGTTTTCCCATCTTCAGTGGACAGTCTGTGCAGCCATTCGAACAGTACACTAGCGAATTCTTCATTATAAAACATATCGCCAATCAGAATTGTATCAAATTCTTTACAGCTATCTCCAATCAAATTGTTTGTACTAGTTTCAACAGTGACGTCATTCAATTCAGCGTTTATTTTCGTAGCAGTAACCGCAACTGTGAAACGGAACAGTAATTTTGTCATAGGTCTCAAGCGGGGATGTAGCTCAGTGGTAGAGCGTTCGCTTTGCATGTGAAAGGCCCCGGGTTCGATCCCCGGCATCTCCAACTTTTTGCGTTTATATGTGAAATTATTGTTACATTCTTTTTTATTATTTTTATTCAATGGATATTGAAAATTATAATTATAAAACTTACAATGATCAATATCGTTGGCTACCACTAGTTTCGCTCCTACTTTTGCAGCAGCGATGCTTCCCGCGCCACATCCACAGCCAACGTCTAAAATGGAATAATTCTTGAATTGATCACCATTGTCTAAAATGAATCTGAAATTAAAACAATGAAATTAATAAAACGTTGACGAACTAACACAATATTTCAAACAGCAGCGCCATCTGTTACTTTTTGGCATTACTACTAAGACAGTGTCTGTACTGCAAACTACACTATAATACCTGTCTCTAAAAACAGAATGCAAAAACTAGATGGCGTTAACATCCTTTTGTTGTTATAATAAAAGATGGTTTAGTGTAATAAAAAATCTCGTTAGAAACAGCAACATTATGGAAGTCAGATTAATGTTACCCAGTTAGGGAAACTCTTCATTGGGATGTTTTATATTACAAGTCCAAAGTACAACCGTCAAGGAGTTCAAGACCAATTTTAACTTTATTTTATTTGAAGTCTCCAAATAATGCCCTACTGTTTACAACTATTATCACAAATATTGAGGTGAACGTACCTATCTAAAGGCAAAGTGATAATTGGCACCAAATGACTGCAATTAAACAATACAACGATAGTGTTTGTACAACTTCTAGGAGTTTCAATGTTATCACAATATGGCCGCGTTCCATCGCAGATATAGTTTACTATTCTAAAGTGTCAATCAAACTGTAACTAAACTAGATCGGCAACAATTCGCGGAAACATTTAGCACGTTTTTAGCAATTATCGAGTTTACATTACAATTCTAATGATGCACACTTTACAAGTTCTTTGAAACCAGAAGTAGGGGCGTTAAACAAAACTAGAAATGTTAAATTCAATGATTCTTAGAAGAAATCGTACTGAAGAGTGTCTATTAATTGCTTGTTACATCTTTATAGAGGTTTTCTAGTAAAGTTTTACTTAAGTGTGGCCATGCTTCGGCACGAATTGGCCGGCTCGACCGGAGTGATACCGTGGTATCACGCCAAGCAGAAATCCGTAGTGAAACAACACTTTTACATTGTGTTTCGTCGTATGAGTGAGGTTACCGGAGGCCCAATGGCCCCCCTCCCCGGTCTCCTCAATTCCCAATTCCCGAATCCCCAACAAATCTCAAATTCTTAATGCCCAAAAGGCCGGTAACGCACTCGTAACACTTATGTTGTTTCGGGTGTCCATGGGCGACGCCGATTGCTTACCATCAGGTGATCCGTCTGCTCGTTTACCGGCTTATTCCATAAAAAAGCACTCAATACAATCTTGGATTAGATCCAGAAACAAAAGAAATTCGTTTCCAACATGAGCATGAATCTAGTTAACGATTTTCCGCCAAGAAAATTCAAGTGGATTTTACAGTTCACATGAAATGCCAATACAACTGAAAAGTTCATAACAAGAACTGTACATTTGTACCAGCCGATTAGGGGATTCCACATAAACGTAGGCGTGTCATAAGAAACTCTGGCACGGCTCCAGCTCAGCTATAATGAACTGGATATTCCTAGAACACATTAACATTTCTAGTGCTCAGTCTAATCCAGTTATACTGAGAAACCTCCCTAAGAGGGGGGTGAAACTGGAAAGTCTCCGCCCAGCGCCCCCTAGGGGTGGTTCTAGGAAAACAGATGTGTTGCCGACAACACTGCAGTTTTCTTGGAATTTTGCGAAATGTTTTTCTTCCAGGGATCGCTTGTTATTGTTTCGTTCGACGAATGTTTCTCGTTTTCGAGGGAGATTTGGTTCTTATTTGCATATTATTATATTTCCTTTCCCATGGATACTTTTATGTGTTGGTTATTGCAAAATAAACAATTATCTTTACATATAATAAAATCGTAGAAAAGTCAAAATGTACATACATTGATTTTTTTAAAAAGAATACTCGAGGCGTGATCTAAAGTCGATACTGAAGCCAAAATTATATATTTTTTAATTTTTGTCTATCTGTAGATATGTATGTCCGGGATGATCTCAAAAAGTACTGCATGGATTTAATTCAAATTTTGTATGATTATTATTAACGGGTCGGGTTAACATATGGGCTACATATTAACACGCTATCACCTATGGAGTATGCGCAGAAAAACACTATTCCACGCGAACGAACTCGCGGACACAGCTAGTTAGCAATATTTATGGGAAACAAATATACTTACTAATATTACCTCGTTTACTAATTACAGCAATCACAATAAGAAAATGACAAGCAGAGAATGCATATAATGTCTTTAATTATCTCAGCAGTATTGTTAAACGACTTTTTAATGGAGTGTTTACTTTATAAACTCCTTTATTTGTTTCTTTATCAATATCTGACTGTTGCGCAATGTAAATAAAATATAGGTAATAGTTATCTCATGTTTATATCAAACGACAAATTCTTTGCTTTCTATCAATTGACACAGATATCTTGACCTGATTATACTGAATTGTTAGATTCAGATGGTTTATCGTTCGCTAGGGTTAGGATTTTTTTTAAGGGGGTAAATTATTAAATGGCTGCTTCCCCCTGCTGGGTGAGGCGGGAGGGAGTGTCAGACTCTTACTGACTAAAAACCACCCCGTTCCTAATCCTGCACTTCAAACTGGAGTCCTGGCAACCCGTTAAGTCCTCCACGGCTCAGGGTAGGTCTTACTTTAAGTGTGGGAGAGCCATGCTCAAAGAAAACCGATGTGACATAACGCGTTGTGTTTCGTCATGTAAGTGACATTACCGGAGGCCTAATTAACCCTTCCAAAGGTCGGTAACGCACTAATATTATAAAGAGTTGTTACGCTTCTGGTGTTCCAGACGTCCGTGGGCGACGCCGATTACTTACCATCATCCGTCTGCTCGTTTCCCGGTTCATCCCATAAAAAAACTTTACGTACCTAGATAAAGTAAAGTACTATACTAACAAGATAGCTCGCTTGTTTTGCTGCCATGTTTTATCTCAGGTCCCAGGCACTGAGGTCAGCTGGTTAAGAGGAGCTATAGAAATTAATGAGAGAGATATTGTATCAGCTTGGTTATTCCACATTTGATATTTACTTATTCACTTGGAATTGATAGGTATGGCTTGTCTGATAAGAACTGGCAAAAATGTGCTAACAAATCTTTTTAGGCATGCATTTATTTTCCAACGTAAGACGCATCGCGTTCCGCGCGTGCTTCAAAAAGCCATCAGACCACCACGGATGGGGCCCGATAGGGCTGATATCGATACGAATCCGGAGAACGTAAAAGGTTACCAAGGCTCCGACTCAAAGTGCAGGAGTAGGAACGGGGTGCTTTTAGTCTAGTAAGAGTTTGACACTCCCTCCCGCCTCACCCAAGCGGGAGATGTCATTCGATGATTTTCCCCCCTTAAAAAAAGGGTGTACTAGCAATGGTGTTAAATATATTTTATTCTATCGTTGTTGCAAAACACATGTCGTGGTGGCACGGAGTTATAAGACGCCCACTTCGCATGCATGAGGGTGCGGGTTCGAAACCTACCAACGGCAAGTACCAATGTGACTTTTTCCGAGTTATATGTACTTTCTAAGATTATCTAGACACCGCTGAAAAACGGTGAAGGAAAACATCGTGAGGAAACCTGGACTTATAATTTCTAATTATAAGTTTGTAATCGCCAACTCGCATTGAGCAAGCGTGGTGATTAATGCTCAAACCTTCTCCGTGTGAGAAGAGGCTTTGCTCAGCAGTGGGCATTTATAGGTTGTTGATGTTGCAACATAGTTCCACAAAATCACTTAGCAACGACCAGAATTTCGAAAGCTTACCCAGTCTGGAGCTAAAGACCTTGTGCAGTTCATTCGCGAACATGTCCCACTGCGGGTGAAGGACGTGACCGACGAGGTCAAGGGCGCGACCTCTTGTGATTCACCCCGGCCGAGGCGAGGCGAGCCCCGGCCGACGCGAGGGTTGAATCATCTTGTAAAATGTACAGACGGTAGCAGGTCAACCTATTCTTTCTCATTTCATTGAATTTTCGACTTTATTGCAAAGTGATAAAGTTGTAAATTCAATAAAAATATTGCAAGATTGGTATAGTTTGTCCTGCTGTGTGTTCAAGCAAAGAGTTTGTTATGGCAACACGCTCCGATACAGTCATTGCGTTTACTACACTATGACAAACGTTATGCGGTAATGAGTCAGTACACTGTACAGTTTAATCGTTTCGTTACTACATCGCTTATGTTGTTTTTGTATTGTATTATCCGTTATGTCATTGCTAAGGACGTTTAATTAGTTTTGTGTTAATGGGGGCTTTTTTATTTTTTTAAGGGGCGAAAATCATCGAATGACTGGTCCCGCCTAGGTGAGGCGGGAGGGAGTGTCAGACTCTGACTGACTAAAAACCACCCCGTTCCTTCTCCTGCACGTCGAGCCGGAGCCCCGCCTCCGTTAGGTTCCCCGCAATGTGTTAATGGGGGCTATCGTTGTTTTGCTTACTGGCTGATCAATGCCCAAGTGGTCACCGGTGATCGCTTTCCATTAACTCCATTATAGACCTTATTTCCGATGTTTGGAGACTACATTTGTATGAACAAATTTCGAGATGTTTTTGTCAACCAATATGGAATGTACGTAAATTTTGACACTTGTCAGTGTCATCACCATACATTTTGATTTCTACTCTCTCTGTAGACAAGCGCTAAAGTGGCGTTTCGCTAAAGGAACAGGTCCCTAAAATATTAAGAAAACTCATTTCAAGTTGTCATATGAACAAAATCGTTCTAGCAATTTTCATCCAGTTTTATCCTCAAACAATATTAATCATAATAACGGAACTGCACCAAATACACTCATTGTAAAGGTAGCTGTGATAACGATGTAATCAGACAGATACAATCATATTATGTAGATGTGAATCTTATCTAGGCTTAGTCATCGGCTCGCACGTTCCTAATAATGCTATCGGCGCCGGCGGTAGCACGCTAGTTGCACATGTCTTAAAGTAAAATGAAGAGGAAGCCTTTGATTGTTTGTTTATTTGCTTTTTTATTTTCAGGATACTTTTTCAAAAGAAAAGCGATTTAATGAAGTAAAATATTATAAATTCCATGTGGGCAAAGCTGCACGCGGAGTACTCGGAAAACTAGCATCGAAGAAAAATTAAAATAAATAAAT